TCATGGTCAGTTTTAGTCTCAATATTAAGTAGAAAATTCTGGAAATACATAATTCATAGATTCTAACTTGAGTGCATTACCTGTTCAATGCTGTTTCTTTCACATCATTTTACGATGTGTGCCCTTTGTGATGGGAATTATTCCTTTGTGCTGCTTGCCTGGTAGTCCCCGAGTACAGTTTTGCTTGTCATATTAACTGCTCTGGTATGCCAGTGCTTATGTTTATGCAGCTTATTTTATGTAGTAGTGGTTCGAAAGCATAAGAATAGTGATGCTGGTGATTCAGCATGAAACTGGAACACAAGTGGAGTGCTTTGTTTAAGTGAAAAGATGAGAGTTCTTGACGCAATTAGAATAGAAAAAATATGTGCTGAGGGTGCTGAGATCTGTGAATGAATCTCTGCCAAATTGTGAAGGAACAGGAAATTTGTGCTAGATTTGTTGTCGCATTTCAAACTGAAAATATTTTGACCAGAGTGTGTGATATGTGCTTAGTATGAAATTTTAGGATTTTATATAGTCTGCGATCAGACATCCACTGGGGTGAATTTTTTTTTAAAATATATTTTATTTTGAATTCTGAATTATGTCGTACAATTTCGTATATGCTGGGATTCCCCCTCAAACTCCCACCCCCTGACAGATTTTCCCCATTTTACTACAGTAGTGTAGTCCTTCATACAGAATCATGATTCTATCAGTCTCTTATTTAAGTGTACCCTGACATTATTGCTACAGACAGTGTCAGGCAGTCCAGCATCCCATTGTCTACATGTGTCCAACAGTTTCATTGGGAATCTATCTTTTGTCTGAAAGCAGGGATGCATGCTCCATTATTCCCCCACATCTGTATATGATAGACCCCAGTACTCTATCACTATACATTTTCATAATTGAGAAGGCATGAACCCAGGTCAACAACTGGGGTGGATGTTTTGTTATAAGAGAGGACTGCTGTACATTTGTCTTGAATATTGGTATCAAATTCTTGTCAAAATCAAACTCTACCTGTTTTATAAAAATTGCCAGTTCGATTTCCTATCACCCCTGCAGCTACTGCTCTTCTATTTTTATGAACTTGGCTGCTCTAAGTACTTCACATGTGGACTCATACAGTGTTTACTTATTAAAGGATTTATTTATTTGAAAGTCAGAATTACAGAGATCTAGAGAGAGAGAGAGAGAGAATGAAAATGAGAATATGAGATAGGGAAAGATCTTTCTTTTGCTGGTTCACTCCTCAGTAGCTGAGTGGTCAGGGCTGGGCTCGACTGAAGCTAGGAGTCTGAAACTTCATCCTGGTTTCCTCTGTGGATGACAAGGAGCCAAAGTACTTAGGTCATCTTCTACTACTCTCAGGCCATCGGCAGGGTGCTGGATTGGAGCGGAGCAGTCAGGGCTCACATGGGATGCCAGCATTGCATCTGCAGCTTTACTTGCTGTGTCACATGTGACAATGCTAGCTGCTGCAAGTGGTCATTTTTATCACCCTGGCACCATTGCCATTTCAGTACAAATAAGCCTTTGATGTGAGAGGCTGTCCTGAGCATGACTGAATTTTAGCAGCTAGTATTCCAGTTGTCAGAATTAAAGCTATCTTTGGGCCTTGACGAATGTTGTAGAAGGAGAAATTGTTCCTAGTTGAGAACTTTGAGCTAACACGTGGGAGAACTTGGAATTGAATGCAGACCTCATGACTGTAAATCCTTACCTGTAAGAGACTGAATAAAGCTAGTTTTCCACTGCGTTTCCTTGCTAATATTCCTACTACACAAATTTTTTTTCCCCTCAGCCAAAGGAATCTAGGATAAGTATAGTTTTTGGGAGACAGGTCATATGCAATGTGGAAATCTTGGGGAGTACTAGTGTCTCAAACATTAGACGATTAGAACTGTAATTTTGCTTGTCTGATCCTGTACTAATAGCTATATCTCAGGAATTTATCAGAGAAATAACACTCCTTTTTAAAACATTTTAAAGTTTATTGAAAAGGTGAGGGGATCACAGACACTTGTGGTCTGCAAACAGGGTTGGAGTGGATTGGAAGGGAAAGAGGAGTGGGTTTGTGTTTCTGCCTTCCCTTCTGTGGTCTGTGGGGGACAAGAGAGCACGCTGCTCCATGCTGCCGGCCTGCACTTGGGCAGGGAATGTGAGACTAGCACTAATTTTTAGGCATTTTTTTTCTGACAATCCTCACAGTCTGCTCCTGTCTTGATGGTAGATCTTTGTTGCAACTTTGCTGTGGTTTATACTAACATACTTACAACTTTATTAACCCATTGACTTCAGAAAGGTTGGCACTGTTTTACAGGTCTTCTGACAACATGGTAAGGATGTTCATCAGATAGAATAGCTCATGTTTTTCCAGATTTTTGTGGTGTTGATGTTATTGAAGATAGACCAGGGAGCCTGGGAAATGGTCTGTGATTGACATTTAAAGCCAATGAATGAAAAAATTGACAAAAGAAAATAAAAAATATCTTTTCCCTTCTAGTAAGATTGTAGCATTTGTTATAAATTGTAGTAATAAATTACTTCATTGAAGTCACATAGTTTATGATGTTCTTTGGCAGGAAAATCGTGAAAATATTTTATTGTTACAGCAATTTTCACCCAAAGCCATATTTCAAAAAGTCATTAGTGAAAGTTCTGGAGAAGTAAGTCACTGTCAACTGATATGCTATCAAAAGATGTATTGCTGTTATTTTAGATAATTTAGTTATGCCAACTATATGGGCTTCTTTTGAGTTATAAGTCTACATGATTTCCAGTAAAATTTTGATTTGACATATAAATATTTACTTAAGTATTTAATTCACTCCTAATGTAAATGTGAAGTTTTCTGTTCATGTAATTGTTTTCTCTAAATGTTAAAATTTATCTCTGCATTGAATTAAATACAATACTTTTTATCCCAGTAATTTGGTGGGTTTTTTTTTATATGTTGAATGATATAAAAGTAATTAGTAATGAAATGAAGCATAGATTGGAATAATAGAATCTTCTCTAAGTGAAACATTTCAACAGTTGTGATTCTTGCAAGAGTATTTAGTTCTTACACAGGATCTTTTATTGCTTGCAGTGTTGTCAAATTAAAAAGCAGCAGTATTTTAGATAGTTCAATTCAAGAATAGTCCAGAGTTTTTTTTTTTTTTTTTAAGATTATTTTGATTGGAAAGTTGGATATACAGAGAGGAGGAGAGAGAGAGGAAGATTTTCCATCTGCTGGTTCACTCCCCAAGTGGCCGCAGTGGTCAGAGCTGAACCAATCCAAAGCCAGGAGCCAGGAGTTTCTTCTGAGTGTCCCACAGGTGTGCAGGATCCCAGTGCTTTGGGCATCCTCGACTGCTTTCCCCAGGCCACAGGTGGGGTTCTGGATGCGAAGTAGAGCAGCCAGAATTAGAACAGGCATCCATATGGGATCCTTGTGCGTGGAAGGTGAGGACTTTAGCCATTAAGCTAGTATACCAGGCCTTCAGTGACCTCATGGATCCTTGTCACTGCTTCAGTTATCTACAGCAGTAAAGTAATACAAACTTTTCAGCTGAAACCTGTTTGAAAGAAAATCTGTCTTTATTTTGCTATTCTAAATTCAGTTGTGTTTTAGTCTAGGATATAATAATTTAGCTTAAAAAGGTTTTAATTTTTTGGAAACACTCAGTTACTCTTTGCCTTTCACCAGGCCTGAGCTGATATCATCGAACCTGTTTTTTTTTTTTTAATGGATATAATCATTAATCAATATTTGAGAATATGTTTACAATTACACTCTGATGTGATCAACAAGCTAGACATTGGACTGTATCCCTTTTTAAATCTTTTACATGTCTCTGCCTTATATCAACTATTTTGTGGACTGGGGTCCAGAATTAGTAGATCTATATATCATCTTTTCATTTTGTAACTTGGTTAATGAGTGGTGGAGAGGGTGAAAGGTCACAAATTGCAATGTATTGTGAATAAGTTTTGTTATTTAGATAAGAAAAGATTGTCAGGGGTTATATACAAGGGTCATTTAATCAGAATTTGAAATGTTGAAAAATACTTCCAGGGGCAGGTCACATCACAATTGAGTCTTGTGCTAGGCAGAGAGGACGCGGGAAAAAAGACAAGAATGTTATGAGCAGAGAGCTAGGAGATAAGCCTTGAAATAGTCACTGTCACAAACTCTGAGAGGACCTGTAAAACATTTTCTTTACAGTAACCTGTTAGACCTATTACTTGTAGTTCACAAATTTGGAAACTTCGAGTCCTAACTTTCCTAAGGTAGTTCTTAAGTGCAGTTTAGTGGGGAGATAGGAAGATCCTCCATCTGCTGGTTCACTTACCCAACTGACCACAATGGCCGGAGCTGAGCTGATCTCAGTTGATCCAAAGCCAGAAGCCAGGAGCCTCCTTGAAGTCTCCCACGTGGGTACAGGGGCCCATGAACTTGGGCCATCCTGCTGCTTTCCCAGGCCGGAAGCAGAGAGCTGGATGGGAAGTGACTTAATGGAGGAAAAAATATAAGAAAAAAACCTTGCTGATTTCTTTTAATGATTTATATTATTAGCAATTATTGATTTTTTTTTTTTTTTTTTTTTTTTTTTTTTTTTTTTTTTTTTATTATTATTGTTGCTTACATTGTATTGTGTAGTACAGTTTCATAGGCGCTGGGGATTCCCCCCACCCCTCCCATACCCCTCCCCCCATGGTGGATTCCTCCACCTTGAGCAATTATTGATTTTTAAAAACTGGAATATATTAACAATTTAAATTGTGTTAAAAAATATAATTTCCTACAGTCTACAGTTACTTACGTATTACTGTTTTAGGTAAAAATATTTGATAAGAGCATTTTAGACTTTTTTTTGGTGTTACTTCTTTAAGGTTTGTGTAGGAAAATCAATCCAGTGATGCAGTTTTCTAGCATTTCTAGCATTGTGTTTCCTTTGAATGAGATATGAAGTTGTTCTCCAAGATACTATATTATTTAATACCATGGAATTTCCTTTTTTCAGAATCCTGTCCGGAAGATTCCTGACTCACATGAGATAACATTGCGGCATGGCACTAAAACAGTAAGTTAAAAGATGAGCTTTTTTTCTCTTAATAACCGGACTGTCATGGACAAATGAACTAATAAGATATATTTGTGTTAAGGCTAGTTACACAATCAGTTATGTCGTAAAAGCTATAGATATTAAAGCAAGGAGAAAGATTTTATGTTTGGTCATATTTGCTGTTGCCTTTCATTTATAATAGGAACCCTTGTTGCCATTATTATTGTTGGCTCTAATATGCCTCCCTGTCACTGATACAGGAGCAGTATAAGTAGAAGAAAGAAATGAAACCCAAATGCAGTTTTGTTTTTTTGTGTGTGGGAAACTTCTTAATACACTTAACTTTATTTCTGTATCAGTAAAAGCCTTGAGTTTGTTCATTTTTCAGAAGAAAGTTCAGATAAGAAATGAACTTTAAAAACAGTCTCTGTATTACTTGGTATATAGATTCTATTTTTATAATTACATTTAATTATGTTATTAAAATTTATATGATAGTTGAGATAGAAGATGAATGTATTTTATTATAAAAGCACTAGAATGCTATTGAATGAGTGAAATATGCATATGAAATGAAAGGATAAAATTATCTTATTTTCATTTTCAATGAAACTACTTTTTTTTCTGAATATCTGGCATATAAAAAAGTATAAAAGCCATCTCATATTAAGAGAAAACATCATTTTTATTGGAAAGTCAGATATACAGAGAGGAGGAGAGACAGAGAGGAACATCTTTCTTCTGGTGATTTGCTCCCCAAGTGGCTGCAATGGCTGGAGCTGAGCCAATCTGAATCCAGGAGACTTGAGCCTCTTCTGGGTCTTCCCTGTGGGTGCAGGGTCCCAAGGCTTTGGGCCATCCTTGACTGCTTTCCCAGGCCACAAGCAGGGAGCTGGATGGGAAGTGGGGTTGCTGGAATTAGAACCGGCACCCAAATGGGATCCTGGCGTGTTCAAGAGGAGGACTTGAACCACTACATTATTGTGCCGTGCCCTTTCTTCCGTTCTAATATACTTGTTGATGCCCACAAATTTCTTTCCAGGGCAATCTTTTGGAGCAGGCTTTAGTGAAAATGAATGCTGTTGGGCAACTCACAAAGAAGATGAAAATATTATTAAGTGGGAATTAGGTAGGGAGTTATTCTAATGTTTTTATTTAAAAAATGGGTAAAGGATAATGAGTTACGAGATTTTTTATTTAGTGTTGATTCCTAAACAAAGCTTGAAGTATGGTTCTTGTAATCGCTTAAGTTTTCTAGAAATATTTTTACTATTTTGGTAAGTGATTTATAATCATAGAATAAAAGGGTAAGCAGCTAGACATTTATAGTTAATGTGTTATTGAATCAGTTGAGTGACTTTGTGTTAAAGTCTAATGCTTGTTGAAAGAAGGCTAGGGAGATACAAGTGAATTCTTTCTTTTTATTTAAATTTATTTGAAAGAGTTACAGAGAGTAAGAGAGATCTTCTATCCGCTAGTTACTCTGCAGATGGCCTTAACCGCCAGAATTGGGCTAAACTGAAGTCAAGGTCTAGGAGCTTCATTCAGGTCTCCCCTGGGCAAGGAAGGCAGTGCCCATGTCATGGACTGTTTCTCCCTGGCCATAAGCAGGAAGCCAGTGCACATCTTGCAGAGCTGAGCCTCAGCATGCCCATCTGTCCTTTGATGCAGGCTGATGGGAAAGGTTCTGGATCTATGCCAACTTATTTTGGGTTGATCTGATGTTCCAGACAGTGGAAATCTATCCTGTGGTCTTTGGGGAGAGAGAGGGAGAGAGAGAGAGTACGCCTCTCCATTGCCAGTCTTGTGAGCCTGGAAAGGGAAGTAGTTACCTGGAACCAGCTCCAGGGCCCAGGTGAGTGGCAGTACATCCTGGGCAAGGAGCCATTTGATTGACAGGTAGGTAGATAGGATTACATAGAGTGTGGGGAGGCTTGGCTTCCCTCTTGTGGCCCTTAACTAGGTACCTACCTGCCTATGCCATTTCATTCTGCCCTCAGAAAGCTCAGACCTTTTAATCTTAAAGTTTGCTGAAGGATACAGATTAATCACATGTTCTGTAACTACTTCCTGCTGATTGGGGATGTAGGCCTTGCCTATTGCAGGTTCAGAAATCTATTTCTATTTCATCTGATGGGTCCATCTCATAAGCTGGAGGAGTTCCACTTGGTACTCATGGTCCTCATTATTTACCCTTGCCTGTGTAGCCCCATGCCCTAGGCCTCAGGGCCTGCCTGTCCCAGTTGGGTCATGCAATCAATGAGACCAGTAAAAATTAGTTCTTTCTGCAAAAGGTAAAAGCTGAATATTTTTTTTTTAATTTTTTTTAAAGATTTATTTTTATTATTTTTTTTATTGGAAAGGCAGATATACAGAGAGGAGAGACAGAGGAAGATCTTCCATCCCATAATTCACTCCCCAAGTGAGCACAACGGGCCGATACTATGCCGGTCCAAAGCCAGGAGCCTCTTCCGGGTCTCCCATGAGGGTGCAGGGTCCCAAAGCTTTGGGCCGTCCTCGACTGCCTTCCCAGGCCACAGGCAGGGAGCTGGAAGGGAAGCGAGGCTGCCGGGATTAGAACCGGCGCCCATATGGGATCCTGGGCATGTAAGGCGAGGACCTTAACCACTTGCGCCACCGCGCTGGGCCCAAAAGCTGAATATTTTAATGTTGGTTTTTTTTTTTTTATGTTGGTAGAGTTTTATTTTCATTTGATCTGACGTTTTGTGCAGTAAATGTAAAAGAGCTTAAAATATTCACAATTCTAGTATTATTCTCGTGTTGTCACTTTGCTGTAGAACTTAGCATCTTCTGTCTTTATCTGGGAGAATAATCAACTTTGTATTTATGCTATTACCCTTTTTTGATAGAGGAGAATGTGTATCTGACTTATATATGTATGTATATAAATATGTATCTGATTTGTTAGGCTGTGTTGTTGCTTATGTTACACTAAGGATAGAGAAGCTTCCATCTTTCTTTTTTTCTCCCAAAATGGTGCTTAAAAAAAACCACTTCTTTCTTTTGAAAATAATTTTTTTTAATGCAAAAATATTGTTTAAACTTGGCTTTCATTTTTAAAAAAATGATCCCTGGTGATGTTTAAAAATGCTTAAAAAAATTACTAATGCATAGGGAACAGATTTCATGAATTTTGTAGATATAATTCCAAGAGTGGAAGTAATTTGTTCTGACTAGTTGTTTTGCTTTTTTAAACCAGGTATCTGCTTTGGGTCTGGATCCTTCAGGTGCCCGCTTGGTGACTGGAGGATATGACTATGATGTGAAGTTTTGGGATTTTGCTGGAATGGATGCTTCTTTTAAGGCATTTCGATCTCTTCAGCCCTGCGAGTGGTATGTAGTCACTTAATTTAATATTTTGCTGTTTTCACTTGAATTCCTTCTGTAATGATGTATATCCTATGACTGTACTGCCTCTATGAATGTAAAAGGAAATGTATGTTTCTTTCCTACAGTTTCATTAATTACTTAAAACATTTTGAAAGCTGGATATGCACCATTATCTAACTTAATGAGAAATTTATTTTATTTATTTGAGAAATGGAATGAGAATAAGAGAGAGGGACAGGAGAGAGAGACAGAGAGAAACAGAGATAACTCCCAAATAAAGTCCATATTCTTGAATCAATCCATGTTTCTCAGTTGAGTGATAATGAACCTACTGCTTTGAGCCACTGCTTGCTTCCTCCCAGGGCGTGCATTCGCAGGAAGCTGGAATCAGAAGTGAGAGCAGGACTTGAGCCTAGGAACTTGGGTGGGCATTCCAGTATTGAGTTAATTGTGTCAAAAAGCTGCCTGTGGTCTGTTTTTTTTTTTTTTTCTTTTTAAAAAATATGTACAAGCTTTAACCTTGCCTAGTTTATTTTAAAATAATCCAGCAAATATGTCCCCTTCTGCACCCTGTTCTGGTTCTCAGTTCTGCCAGTGGATGAACTGGCCCAGCCTGGACTGTCCCCAGACCTGACCCACATGTGTGCTGGCAGGTACTGTAACCTGGCATGGTCTGGGCTGCTTTTTACCTTGGTTCTTGCACTCACCTGCAGGGACTGCATGCTGATGAAGGAGTTTCCCAAGCTCCTCTCTCAGGTCTCCTCCCAGTGGCAGATCTCATGCACACTTGAGGGTCTTTTGCGCAGTTTGACTTTGTCTCCCTCTTGTCCTGACAGGAACAGTATCCTTGCTCAACTGGCCCACACCCATTCTGGTTTTTACTATTGGGTGATGCAGACCAGTCATTCCTGGTCCACACCCAGACACAGCTTTCACGTGGTTCAGTGGGAGTCAAGACCTGTCTCAGCCCATTCTGTACCTAGCCGGGGTCTCATGAGTATTAGTGGGTGCTTGAGTCTAGCCCAGTCTGTCACTCCTCAGATCCAGTTCACACCCGCAGCGAGGGAGGCTGTAGCCGTGTCCAGCTCAGGCTGCTGTCCTCAGTCTGGTTCTTGTGCTCACCAGTAGGATTCCCATTAGCTTCCCAGCCAGACCTGTTTCCATCCACAGTTCACATCTACCCCGAGCAGGCCCCGTGAAGTCAACTGCTGCTCCTGCCGGGCAAGCGGGATCAACGTGATTCCAGGTGGGCTCAATCAGGAGTCGCCTCTGCTGCTGTCAGCTGGGCAGAGGCAAGAAGACCCCAGGCAGGCCACCTGAAGTCCATTAATAAATATTTTTTAAAGCAAAGGTAAAGTTGGAGGCTCAGATGCCTGCAGCTGTGAAGCTAGTGGGCTTATGAGATTCCAGGTCATTCTCCTGCAGGTCAGGTTAGCCTTGGGGATGCACAGTGCTTTCCTGTGATTTTCCAACCGAGGAAGGATTTTAGTCTGTTCATTACGGGGTTGTTGTCCTTGTGCATCCTCAGCGTACTTTAAAAGGAAGTGGAAAGGTATGTAGGAAGAACAGTTAATACTCTCTGGTACACACTGTTTACCTGAAAGTGTTACGCCTTTTCTTTGCTTATAAACTTAAGATAGCTTTTTACTTATTTCCCGAGCTTTCTTTACCACTACAACTGCCATCAGATTACATAATTTTAGAATATTCTTTTAATTAAGGACCAACAACCTTCTCTTGGGTCATGTCTCAGCTCGAATGTCTGATCCTTTCCTAACTATTAGTCAAAAGCAGCTCCTTGCCCCACTTCTCCGGTGCCTCCTGCTCTCTCATTTCCTTGATTTATTTCTTCATAACACTTGTAATTGTCAGTAATGAATTGTTTTTCACATTTGCTTACTTGTATTCCAGCACTGAGAATAGTGCCTGGCATGTAGTAACAAGTTAATATTTTTAAATAAGTTGGGAATAATAGAATTTTTTATATTATAAGATCTGTTTTGTGTTGAGTAGAGCAAAATATTATTTTTAGCACATTGCACTTGTCTTTTCAGTTTCAAATTTTGAAAGAAGGAGAAAACATCTTTGCCTTTTATTTCACCTTCTGGAGCCAATCCTGTATTCAGAAATGCAAAATTTCCTATTTCTAGAAATCAGAACAAATGACTCTGTCCTAATTTCTTTTTTAGGAGTATAAATTATCTAGTTTTGACTCTCCTATCGGTTGTCCATTTCTCTTCTTTCTTACTTAATTCTGGTTACCTTTTTTATTTGCTTTTTGTTTCTTTGGCTACAACTTGTTGAATACCTATTCATTGCCCTATTGCTTTTCATGACCTTTTAAAAAGTCATTTTTTTCAGCTATAATTTACATAAATAAAACTTACTCTCTTTAACTACAATTCTGTGAATTTTGAGAAATGTGTAGAATCCTGTTACTACTGTCACAACAGATTAAGAAATCCCATTATGCCCCTGAGCTCCCTCTAGGTCCTTTGTAATCAGTCTGCTTGTCTGAGCTGACCTATAGGTCCTCATCGGTGTGATGTGGTTCTTTCCTCCCAAGGTAGTTTTGGTTTCTTTGCTATGCAGTCTTTGTTCCTCTGGCTATAGTATCGTTTATTTATTCATCAGTTGATACACATTTGGCTTATTTCTGATTTTTAGGTATTATGTATAGAGCTCTGTAAATAATCCTATACAGGTTTTTTTTTTTTTAGTGGAAAGAAGTTTTAGTATCCTTGTGCAAGGGGCTAAGCATGACTTTTGGGGTTGACACTATCCAGGGAGAAGAGAACGTGACAGTGAGGTAAAGATCACTCAGCCTTTCCCCACAGACAATTTGAAAGTATCTATTCAGGAGCAAAATGTGAAATATGAATGGTAAGATTTAGATAAAGAAGCTGTATTTGCTTTCTTTTATGGCAATGGAATATCACAAACTTGGTAGTCACTAAATAACAGAATTTTATTAATTTGTGGTTCTGGACGCAGGGGATTGAGCGCTGTATCTAGTGGGCCTTCTTACTGTTAGAGACTCTCTTTGCTGTCCCATGGTGACACAGGCTGTCCTAGGCTGGAGGGGTGCTCATGTAAAAAACAGATCGTTTTGGCTTTTCTAATAAACCCATTCTTGGGCCAACACAATGGCTCCTTGGCTAATCCTTCCCCTACAAGCACTGGCATCCCGTATGGACACTACTGGTTCATGTCGCTGTTACTCCACTTTCTGTTCTGCACCCTGATTATAGCCTGGGAAAGCAGAGGAGGATGGCCCAAAGTCTTTGGACCCTGCACCCACTTGGGAGACCTGGAAGAAACTCCTGGCTGCTGGCTTTGGATTGGCTCAGCTCTGGCCATTTCAACCATTTGTGGGGTGCACCATCAGATGGAAGACCTTTTTCCTTCTTTGTAAAGCTGCCATTCCAATAAAAATCAATAAATCTTAAAACAAAACAAAAACAAAAACAAAAATGCCCTTGAAGTAGGCCATTAACCTATACCTCAGATGGCTTAACCCACGTGGAGAGCTGTGCCTTTGTGACCTATTCACCTCTCAAAGATCTCACCTGGTCTAACCTGTTAAGGTAGAGGTTTATATTTCAGTGTGAGTTTTGGTGGTGACATTCAGACCATAGCACAGCACTGGTGCTGGTGGCATTATATACTGATACCACTTCGTAGAAGGCAATTATTCTTTTCCAACTTACAGACACGTAATTTGATCTAGTAAGTCACTACTAAGACCTTCTCTGGTCAGTGTACCTATATATGTGGAAATGACCAAGGAACAATTTTGTATTTTATGTATAATAATAGCAGGTAGGTTTCTTGACTTTTATTTTCATTAGAATACAAGATGTTTTTTCATTGTGTTTTGCTTATTTATTTGAAAGGCAAATTTACAGAGAGTGAGAGGAAGAGATAGAGAAACCTTGCGTCTACTGGTTTACTACCCAAATGACTGTGGTGCCCAGCTGGAATTGAGTTGGTCTGAAGCCAGGAGCTGCTTCTGGGTCTCCCATATGGGTCAGTGGCCCAAGCACTTGCTCCCTCTTCTGCTGCTTTCCCAGGAAGCTGGATGAGTAGTGGAATAGCTGGGGTTTGAACTGATGCCCATATAGAATGATGGCACCACAGACAGCGACTTTACCTGCTTTACCACAGTGTTGGTCACTTCTATTTTATGTTCTTTTTAAGATTTTACTTCTTTTATCATCATCATCATCATCATTTTATGATACAGTTCCACAGGCCCTGGAATTTCCCTTACCTCCTTCCTAAGTTCCCTCCCTCATCCACTGAGTTCCCCTGTGTTATTATTATAGTATAGTTCTTCATACATTGCGGGCATGGACAATGGCAGAGAGTCCAGCATCCTATTGTGAAGATATAATTAACAGTTTCATTGGGAGTCCATCTTTGATCTGGAAGTACAGATGCATAGTGCATTGTATCCTCACATCTGGGTATGATTGTCTCCAATACACAGTTATTATACATTCCCCTAAATGGAACTCCACAATACAAAATCAGCAACAGCAAGAAAAATAGAAATTTACAATGCTGTGAAGTTAAATAACATGCTTCTGGGCATAATAGCTTCCATTACACAGTTACTGTACATCCCCTTAAATGAAAAGCCAGAAAACGAAATTAAGAACAGGAAGAAGAAAAGAAATTGAAAATGCTGTGAAGTTAAATAACATACTATGGAATTACTAATGTGTCGCTGAAGAATATGAAAAAGATAATGAAGAAACTTATTGAAGAAAATGATGCTGCTGGGCCCGGTGGCATGGCCTAGCAGCTAAAGTCCTCGCCTTGAACATACTGGGATCTCATGTGGGCATTGGTTCTAATTCTGGCAGTTCCACTTCCCATCCAGCTCCCTGCTTGTGGCCTGAGAAAGCAGTCGAGGACGGCCCAATGCCTTGGGACCCTGCACCAGCATGGGAGACCTGGAAGGGGTTCCTGGCTTCGGATTGGCTCATCTCCAGCTG